TGCTCTCTGTCTCGATTCTCCAAATAATCTTTCCTTGCTTGGCTTCTGTAGATGCAGAACCTGTGGACAAGGCTCCAATTTAAACATTTTTTTTTTTGCATCCTCAGCTGTAGGTAATGTGAGGTTCAGAGATGGCAAGGAAAAATTTAAACAAAGTTATTATTATATTTTATATATAACTTCTGCCTGCTTATGTGTTTAGGGCCAATAGAAGTACATTCTAGTGTAATGTGAGGCAAAATAGTAAACCTTCATGACCCGGGAAATAAACACTGAGACCTGTCCTGGCGAACCATGCCCACCTGAGGTGGAACTAGCATCCACCACCCTCAGCTTCATGGTGATGACATTTGCATAATTAGATGATGTCAGTGGTGTGACAGGACAGGGAAGCTCATCAGTGAAGATGTCTTCAGTCCTAATAAGGAAGAGAAAACCTAATTGTTAAAGAGCTCAAACAATAACACGAGTTTCCTGCAATGACTCAGAGACAGGGAACACACTGGAACAGAGAGTGATCCTCTCCACGAAGGGGCCACGTCCTGGGACTGGTTCTCTTGGTCCCCAGGTTATTGCAGAACGTGCTGCCATCAGGTGTCACACCTGGACATGATCTCAGAGACAGGAAACTGAGTGTCCTTCCGTGGGTCCACTGATGGTTGACCTTCCCATGGGTGAAGCAGATCACATCTCTGAGGTGCATGGAGTTGTGGCCCCCAGCGTCCTGCTGCTGTCTCAGTCACTGTGACTAACTTACATGACAAATTGGTGCAAGGCACTTGTTTGCAACAGGGGATCTGTGGAGGAGGAGCATTAGTGGATGATCTGGGCTCTCAGGGAATCAGGTGATTCCAGAAGGGAGAAAGGACAGAAAAGAACATGTGGTAATCACACAGGTCATGATGGAATTGATGTGGTCGGTACTTGACTGTTTTTCCCTTACACAGCTGTCATTCCCATAGACCTCTAATACCTTTGCATCTCCAGTGCAGATATAACTGTGCAATTTATTACATAAAAGTGCTTCCATTTCACGTGTCTCAATTCAAACCTAGTGGATGGATTCCATGTCTCCCTGTTACTCTCATCACTTCGCCTAAGAATCTCTTGTGCTCTTGGGTATGGCAGTTACTCTCTTATTCCAAATGTTCCATAAGATTATGCCCATTACGGTGACATTAAAACTGAGGAATATTTTTGATGGTGATGAAATGTTTTATCTCTTTTCTTCTCTTGTAAATAAAGTCATTTCAATATTCTTCTCCATGTCTGACGTGGGAAAAAAAGGTGGTTTTATAGAGGGGTGGATCTGTGGGTTGTAGTGGAGTGGATTTTCATTTTTGCATAGTTCCAAAAGATCTGCTAAGTAGTTGAATCAATTTACCTTCTCAATAAATATTCCTGATTTTCCATATTATTTTCTAATAGTTAAATTACCCTGATAATCTACAGGATGCAAATGGCAGTTGATTAATTTGTTTATCGCATTAGGAGGCTTAGAGTGCATTCACATATTATTGTCCATTTATTTCTCTCTCTTGGGAAGTATGTATCTATGATATATCCACTGAATTGTTCATCTATCTTAAAAAGGCAATTTGAAGTTGTTCTTTATATAATTGGAAGAGTCATCCTATATATGTATCGCATACATAAATATAGAAGATTGCAGTTCCTTACTTAGGACAGTGCCGTGTTATGCTTGTACCTCGTGGTATTCACTAGCTGGCCACGGTGTGCAGCATTCCCATGGTTTAATTAGGAAAAACTCCCCCCAAGCCCCGGGGGCAAGAAGGCCCAAGTTTGAAAACTCCCCCTTCCCCAAAAAAGAAATTTTAAGTTTAACCTTTTCAAATTAAACCGAAAACAAAAGAAAATTAATTTTGCCCTTGAACCAAAAAAAGAAACAAAATCAACTTTGGTTCCTAAGCACCTTTGACTACATAATCCATCTGTCCACTGTAATTTAAATTCAGAAATAAACTTCACTTAGAGGTCGATGTTTTCTGGAGTGTCTTTTCTGAGCAATGGTACTGTTATACCTTGTCATGCTCCAAAATCACAACCCTTCATCACTATAGAACATCAATCAGCTGAAACTAAGTTTGCCATGGTAATACAGAGCTCTGAAGCCTTTTTTATTCTTAACCACAAATGGACTTTTACAACAGGTCAGAGCTTTTCTGATCATTTAAATTTATTCCCACATTGATAGCCATAGGAGGTCGGACTTGTTAAATTAATAAGGTTTTTCTGATGTCATGGAGCTTCACCCTGAGATCCATGGCCTTGTTACAAGAAGATGAGAGCAGAAATTCCTGTCCTTGCTAAGAGAAGACACCACAAACAGGTAGCAGTGTACAAACCACAAGAAGAGTCATCACCAGGGTCTGGATCATCTGTCACCTGGATCTTGGAATTTGCAACATCCAGTCCTTAGAGAAATAAATGTCCACTATTGAACCTTCCCAGGCTACAGTGTTGTGCAATAGCAGCCCCCGTTGACTGAGGCTGACATTCATTCATGAGTACAGAAGAAAGTGATCAATAAGAAGCCAACGTCCAAATCGAGTGACACAAGAACAACAAGGTAGAAGACGATCTAATGAATGTTTCACCATTTTTATTGGTGCATTATAATAATACATAGTAGTGAGATTCATTATGCCATATTCAGACATGCACATAATATAACGTGATTCAGTTCATTTCCTAGTAGCTTCCCTTTCCTTTCTTCCTTCTCCCGATCGGCTCATTCTACTCTACTATCTTCTATTTATTATTAATTATTATTACTAATATTACTATTATTCATGTATTGATTTATGCCTTGGTGAGTTTGGGCATCCTCCATGTCCTGTTCTACAGGCTGTAGATAAATGGGTGAGTCTGTCATTGTAGGGACCCCAGAATACCGCCCCATTCACCTCACAGTGATTAGTTTACAAAGGAGCAAAGGTCCTGATTCTGGACTGTGATACGTGAAAGGATGTTTTCTCAATAACTCCATGAGATGGCTGGCTCTCTGTTGCATCATAACCTAAGGAAAACAGAGTCTGCATTCTGTTTTCTGGAAAATGTAGGCGTATGACCCCTGGAACTGAGCCAGGTTTTCAACGACCAGGGGAGCAGCGTTAGGGTGAAACTAACAGGTGGAGGAGTGAATAAAGCAGTTGCACTGTGTGTGGAGGTTCAGCTTGTGAAATTTAAATAACTTGGGATGATCAGCTTCATGGTGTGAGCTAATAGAGCCATCCTCATTCAGGAAATTCAAACATCCCATCATTAGGTCACATTCTGCTACTTGGAATTTAGGCCAAATTGGTGAAAGAGGAAGCCAAGGTTAGTGGGTGTGGCTTTGCTCTGTAAATAGCAGGTTGAGGACACTGAGCTGACCTGCTGTCACTGTTGACCGACACTGCATAGCTCCTGTATTCTCTGCAGAGTTACCTCTTAACAGCTTAACAGAATCTGACAGGGTAATTATCAGCCTTAGAGACAAAGTTTAGAGTATCATGGGTTATAAAACAGGAACTCAGATTGCAATCATTTGGGGAAGCCATAAATGGCCGTGTACATGGGTTGAGGTAGAGGCAAGTCCTCCTCCTGTACTGAGATGCATATTTAGCTCCATCCTTTGTCCTAATTCCCTGCTGTCACTCACATCCTCCTAAGAAATACCCCCAAATCACTATAGTAAGAACCCTTTATTTATATTCTATGGAAGCTGACCATGAAATTAGGCTCAAAAAATGTCATATGAGTTTTCAAAATCCCAAACTATTGAAGACCCAGGTCAGTTTCCAAATACTAGCAGAAATACACAGAGCAAAGGAGGGGCTAAGCATTGCAGCTTATGACCTTAGTGGTAGAAGAGAACTCTGTGGCTCATCCAGTGCTCTTGAACACGGACTCACTTTTGAAATGAAAGCACAAAGCACAGAACTCATCATAAGGAAGACATTTGAATGAGTTTCTTTAAGGCCCCCTTCATGTCCCTGTTCCTCAGGCTGTAGATAAAGGGGTTCAGCATTGGAGGAACCACAGAATACATCACGGAGGCTACTGCACTCTTTTTGGGAAAGTCTGTGACTGCAGAGCTAACATACACCCCAAGACCTGTCCCATAGAACAAGGAGACCACTAAGAGATGAGACCCACACGTGAAAAAGGCTTTAGACTTTCTCCCAGATGATGGCATTTTTAGAACGGAGGACACAATTTTAACATAAGAGAAAAGAATCCCACAGAGAGGAAGACCACCCAGCAGGCTAGTCATCACATATACCAGCATGTTATTGATGAGGGTGTCAGAACAGGCCAGCTTGATGACCTGACCAATTTCACAGAAGAAGTGGGGGATCTCCAGGTTTGTGCAGAAAGACAGCCTCAGTAGCATCAAACTTTGGAACAGGGCATACGTAATGCTGATGGTCAAGGACAAGAGAATCAGCCGGACACAGAGACGGGGGTTCATGATGACTGTGTACCTGAGTGGATGGCAGATGGCCACGTAACGGTCATAAGCCATTGCTGCAAGAAGAGAGTTTTCTATTCCAGCAAAAACCAGGACAAAGCAGACCTGGGCGAGGCAGCCTGCGTAACTGATGCTCTTGCTGTGTCTCTGGATGTTCACCAGCATCTTAGGGACCGTGGTGGAGATGAAACACATGTCACTGAAGGACAGGTTGGAGAGGAAGAAGTACATGGGGGTGTGGAGGTGGGAGTCAGAG